TTCTTAAAATTTTTTTAGAACAATTAACATATCACTTTTATGATTCATTGTAGTGAGTCGCTACTTATTATTATTAATTTGTCTTAAAACAGTATAAAAACTAAAAATGATTCATATAACGAACGTTTTTAAAATCAGCGAATCATTATTTAAATTAAATATGAAAAAAAATTTAATTTTTTTAACTTTACTTTCAATAAAAAAAGCATAGAATTTCATAAATCTACTAAAATTCAATTATATTTTAATATATTTTTTGAAATTGTATAAACAAGATTTTCTATTTTATTATATTGTGTCTCATTGCAGTAAACATTTACGTCTGTTTTCATAGTTATTCTGATTATATACAATATATCATCAAAATAGCAAAAAAATTACTATATTGTACACAGAGCAATAGATTTGTAGGCCCTATGCATAAATAAATACTCACTTTTTAAATAATTAAGTCTTCTAAGAAACACTCTTATTATTATATGATGAGAAAGAAATAATGGTTATTTTAAAACCCAAGAAAAGACTTCAGCCCGTTGAGGGCTCTTTTTGCTTTTGTATGCTATACAATTGCATGTTTTGTGTAACGGTTAATCCGGCCCTGTACTATATATTGACATACTGTAATAATAATACTTTTATTTTTATAAATTAATATATTATACTCTGATTGATATAGATAAGGACATACTTAGAAAGTCACTACCTTTTCTGAGTATACAATAGTAAATTATATATTTAGAGAAAAATAAAAATACTACTTACCGATTACAAGAAGACAAACTGTGCTCCAAAACAATAATCGTTCATACATTGTTCTTAAGAAATTTTCTACTGATTTCAGAACGTCAATTTAGAGTTTATACGGATCACTTTCCTCTATAAGGTAAGTTCTCGCCCTATAAAATAAACCATGACCTATAATGAGTTCAAAGAAATTGTCCTAATTTGTTATTGAACTTTCAATATGTAAGTTATGAAACGTTAAGAATTAATATTCATTTTTAAGTTTTTAACCTAATTGTACGTAATTAGTTTAAAACTTTGATAATTAATATTGAATGTTAGTTAATACAAACTAATTAATAACAACAGACACTAATCAAAGGCAGATTTGTTCTGATTCAGAACCAACTTCATTGTCAACTATGTGCTTAATATTTGAGATTCTGACCTATAATATTTATAAATTTTTGAAATATTTTTATTTTTCTAAAATAAAAGTTTTCTGTAACACAAGAGATTTAGCGAGGCGTCAAACTAAATCGTTGAAAACTAAAATACGATAATGATATCCATATGACCGTAGGCGTATTTAGAGGTAAGTAGAGGGCACATATCCTTCCTTAACCAAAATTTAAAAAATAAAATATAACAAAAAATTTTCTTCTGAAATATATTTTAATATGTATGATGTATTTATACTTATGCCAAAACTATTCCTGGTGATATCTGGATACCCTACTCCATAATCTGTACTTTAACTTGAGATATTTCTTTTGGTTTTTATTATAATTTCGTTCCTATTTTCCATTGAAATGAAGCAAAACTTGAATCGATTACTATAATTAAAAATGATATTGTAATTTTAAAAATTATTTATTAAATTATTTTAATTATTCGATAAATATGATTTAAAAAGTGCTATTAATCACATCTTTAAAACTGACTTTAAATTCCGGATCGAATTTAAATTTTCTTTAAATATACACACAATTCTCACGTGACCTGTAACTATATATTTATGTCTTATATATTTTTAAAATGTAGTTATATATATCTGACTTGCTGTATATTAAATTGTTATAAATTAAAATACTTGATCCTTGATATTTAAAAATAATTATAATTAATCAAATAAATTTATCTCTAAAAAATTTTATTCGCTTTTTTTAATTTAAAAAAAACTAGGAAACCTTCAAATTTTAACTAAATGTATTGATAAATTAATTAATTTTTACTTTAATTACTATTAAAAACTCGATAATAATATTCAATCGTGCTAGTAGCTACAAAATATACTGGAATGAAAGTAGGTTTTCATAGTAAAATGACTTTTATTTTTCCTTAAACCAGATCAGTTCTTCATGGATGAAAGGCTAATGTATTGCACATTCTTATCATAGCTTTTTAAGCTTCAGAAATTTGGTAAAAGAGATAAAGAATTGACATATAAATCATTTCTTCCATCCTCAGAAACAAGATTTATTGATTATTGCAAACGTAACCCGTTTGAATATTTAAATTATAGATTAGTAATGTATAACTAAAATTAAAACAAAAAATTAATTTATTAAAACATTTTTCCTGGAATAAAACTTCAAAATATTTATTTAATACAGTTTAAACAAGACATTTGAACCTTAGTTATTTAAAAATAATATTCAGTTATCAGTAAGGGTTAAAGGGTTATGCTATGTGAGAATGTAGAATATTCGGATATTTAATACTGTCTATAAACATGATCGTGTTTGCTTGACATTAATTTATATCGAATATTAATTCAACAGAACACTTAACAGAATACCACGAATGTATATTCATCTCCGTCACGATAAATTTGACGTCATATGCTTTCGGGAAGTCATTCTATTGTAGAATTAAATTAAAATAGGCCATTTCGTTAAACACGTTCACCGTAGAGATATGGTAAATACAGTAGTAAGTTTTAGAAGCCAAGCTAAACATCATACAGGATAAAATAACGGGATCGTTGCCCTACAATTCTTATTTTCTTATTAAAATAATTATTAAATTTACATTCTTATTGTGTAAATGTATGCAAAAGACAAGGAGAAATTAATTTATGAGTATATTGTTATATTAAATTAGTTTATATTCGCTACTATGTTGTTTATATCCTACATAATTATATTACTTATATGACAATTAGAGCATAGCTGACAATTCCTGATTAGGATCGAGCATGAGAATTCAATGTTACTAAATTACGAAATGCTAAACAAAAAAGAGATAGTTATCGACAACATTTTCAACAGTCTACAATTTCACTAAAGAAATATTTAGAAACAATTGTAAACAAGTATTATACTTTCCTTAGCAGTTTCAAAAAATAAAAGTGCAGAGTGTCGTTTTTCTGGCCTTGCGAGAAGACAATAAAGTGTAATTCTATATATTAAATTTAATACAATTTACTAAATATAAGAGTTTAAAATAATGCACGTAGATTTAAAGATAATTAATCTATTATTTAATTAAAAGAATTTCTTAAAATGTTTTTGGTTTTAAACTAAATTTATTTATTTTTATTTAATTTGTACATAAGTAAAAGTGTTAGACAGACGAAAGTCATCGCAAATTTATGTTTTAATTATATTAAATTCATTAATTATAAATATATTATAAATATGGAAGATTAATAGAATTTTTATAATAAAAACGGTAACATTATTTTAAAGAAAAAAAGAATGAAGCAACTTACTGAACGAGGATATCCTGTACATCTGACCCGTACTTTACACTAGACGATAGTGAATAACAGCAACAGTAAAATGCACGCAGATCGAGTTGCATACGTATTAACATAAACGGTTCTGATTGGTGAATTTAATACTTACGTATAAATTTCAAATAATTGTAAAATAATTCTCAAACCGTATACGAGATTTTATTGTTTTTTTTCTTCCTCTTTTACTCGAAATAACGTAATAACTTAAATTGAGGAAAAATATTATATAAGGAAATTTTTGGCTTGATGTTAAAATGGCTGAAGTTAAAATTGACTCTTATTAAAGTTAAAAATGTTTTTATTTTTCTTTAATTTAGTTTTTTTTTTTTTACTTTACACAGAAAATATAATATAATATTATTTTTATAAATTAATTATTTGTTTTTGCATTTATATTACAATATTTCTTGTAGTCAATAGAAATTTCCTAAGTTTAATGTAAATATATATGAATAAGTTATATATACAATTTTAATTTGTTTAATATACTGTATATTATTTTACTTTTTTTAAAAGTCTTAAAAGATTTTTAATATATATTGTGTTAATCAGAAATATCAACAGTAAATCTTTCAAAAGAAGTTTTCTATGTATTGTATATTATATATTTTTATATAACTTATATAAATTATATGTGTGTAACTTATATATATATTATATAACTTACACACATATTTCTGTGTATAAATATTTGTATTTTACACTATGTTCCTTCTCTAGTTAAATAATACATAGGCTATATATATAATGTTACAGAGAAAGAAAGGAGAGATTTACACAAGACAATTTAATATACTTATTTCATTTTTGTTATGTTTATTTATTTATTTGATTTTTATTAACTATATAAAGTAGCCCAAAAGTCAGTTAACTGTGCCAGACAATTTACAAATTAAATAGATTTGAAGCAATAAACTTACCGTGATTAGATCGTCGAAGAACTTCTCAATTGATGGTAATGTTTCTGTATAATTGTTTTAAACTAATGTCTATAAAGCTTGTTGTTATTTAAAGAAAACATCAATTTAACTCTTTACTATTGTTAATTAATATGTTTAATTATATAAATGTATATAAATTCAAAATCATTTGTAGTATTTTTTCAAAGCTGCAATGCATATTAAATCTAATACTGTAATAATTATACAGTTATAGGGTTATAAACCTATTAATTGATCAAAAAATATCTAGCGATTAAATATTAAACAATAAAATACATTATTTATTTGTTTGATAACAAATTTATTAACGCACAAAATGTTCTCAAATTAGCTCAAATTATTTAATATACCGGTTAAAAATACTATCTCTCTATTAATTAACTTATATTTATTCTTACTTCAGCTGTTCTTAATTATAGTGCCAAAAAAAGTTTAAATATTCATCTAATTAAGTCAAGATTTTTAATATTTTCTAGGCAAATATAGAAAATATGGCTTACTGATCTCTTACATGTGCATTTCTTGTCTCTTTTCGGACAGCTATTGTAGTATTTCTATATACAGTATTACATTTAGTGGTATATAGTATATATAGTATATATATATATATATGTATGTATAAATGAAATGTATGGAAAATAATCACACATTATCTACAGTGATTTAAAGACACGTTATACACTCTATAGGTAAAGAAGGATACATATCAAGGGTAACAGAGGATCAAATTTATCAAGAAATCGAACCAAAAAGCTCTTGGGAAGCTCTTCTTACGATAAACACCTGTTATAACAAATAAGTTATCTGCTTATTCTTTATTTTCCATTTTTATTTTATAAAGAAAGACACTGTGGTCAGTTAGTCTTTTTCAAGTGTCTACAAACAAGAAAGAAAAACTAGTAGTACATGAAAAAAATCAACAAATATTAAACCGAAAATCAAATGAATAAAGCTACAAAGAAACAAAATTTTTAACATTATTTTTAAATACACTGTAACTCGTTATTTCCCGAGATTCATTACTTAGTTTTCTCCAATGGATTATCATTTGGAATATCGATGATGATTTTCCCACCGTGAGCTTTACCGCAGGGATAGAGTAACCACAAATCCTTCGGATATTTCGAATAGAAACGTTACGATATTTTTTAAATTGTATTTCCAAGGTAACTATGTTCCTTACTATCTTTAATGAAACTATGGCTCGCCAGTAAAACTTGTTTTATATATAGTAATTGGATGTAGTAGCCCAGACAGTTATTCCGTATTTTATTTTTGCTTCAGCACATGTATATAATTTCTTCAAATGAGTGATACTAAAAAAAACTTGGATTTTTTTTTTATTATTCCAGTAAACCTGGTAAGAGACAAGGCAATAATATCTACCTTCCTGTACCAACGGTTATCATCCAGAACTATTCTCAGATACTTTATCTCAGTTACTTTGCTGATTTTATCCTCGTTAATTTGGATTTGCAGATAATCCGGATTAACAATTTAATTTCTATTTGCAATACAAAGAAATTTTGTCTTAATACTTACGTCTGAGAAAAAATTGCTAGAGCATAATACTATTATATAATTCATAGAGGTCAAGGTTAATGCTAATTAAGTAATTACGATTAAATGATGTCTAGTAATAGAAATTTCTATTTTTACATTTTTAGAAATTTATTATAAAATTAATAATATTACTCTTATATTTATATTATTTTAATATAAATATAAATTTTGAAGAATGTAAATAACGATATATTTTAAAATTTTCATATTTAAAATAAATTCTATTTATGAATGTATTAAATTAATTTAAAACGACGGGGAAATACACAAGGTAACTAAATCTTCTGCTCGAGGGAACTCGGGATCGAATCCAGACGAAAAATTCAGGTAGAATTACTCATTCTACCAGAATTTTCATGAGCTGTGTGTTTGGCATCATCTCTCACAACACAACCGTCCCCATTGTGGGCCTGGTCGAACTTACGACGGTCCTAAAAAAGGCCTCCTTAGTGCTCAGGGCGAAAAGAACCAAAAATGAAAAGAAAAAAATTAATTTAAGACTTAATCTGTTGTGTATAATATGCTGTTTTTATTGTTGTTGTTTTACCCTTACAGATAGGTACGGGTAAAACAACTAACCCTTGTACTAATAAATAAAATAAATAAATTTAAGATTTAATCGGGAAAAAATTCAATATAAATTCTTTTCTTATGAGAAAATTAAAAGATAAATAAAGCTTCAGATGTGAAAAATTTGTTTAATTTGCATATATTTTCTAAAGAAATATAGGTTTAATTTCAATATAACAAGCTCTTTCCGTATAAAATTGTTTTATTTATTTCAATCTTCAGAACAAATAGATCATTTTATATCATTTTTGATTTTGTAAATTTTTCAACCTGGAAAAATAGTTTACTTTTTATACTTTCTTCATAATAAAGCATTTATTAATTTAAATAATATAAGGTAAATAAATTTTTTCTCTTGATTTTTCTAATTATTAATAGATTTTTTTTTAATATTTAAGGTTTCATTATTTACGTACTATATATCTTATAATTTTTAATTTATGTATGATATATTAATAAGAATAATTAAATTTTCGTTCTAATAATTTAATCTCTGATTATATTAAAGATTAACAGCATTTATTACTTTAAGGAAATTAAAATAATTGATATATTTTAGAAACACTATTTTTTCCATATTTACTAATCCAACGAATTATACTTTTATCATTATATCCTAAATAAATAATAACTAACAAAAATGTAATTTATAAATCATTTAGTAACAGTAACTGAGCTAACTGTACGAGGTAGATTTTCTATGTGATAGGCTATTTGATTCCTTCCTTTGATAAGAAATATTACATGGTGAATGTACTAAGATTTATGTTTAATAGTATTCCTTTGTTAACGAATTAGTCGATTCATTATTTAATAAATTACGAGTCAGTTTATTGTCGAGATAAAGGTCGGGTCCTATTAAAAACAGGCGAAGTATACTCCAGTTGATAGCACAACTTCCATGTTTCTTTGGATAAATAGAATTAGGAACTCGTTTTACATGTTATTTACTAAATTATTGATAATTTTAAGCAAAATATTTATGAATCAAATATTCTTCTTAATTATAAATATCAGATTAATTTTGGAGATTATAATTATTTATTTATACAGAAGTTAAATACATATTAATTAACATGAAATTACATTTGCATGAAAAATATGGAAATAAGATAAAAGAAACATTTATTATGAGAGACTAAAATAATTCTATTTAATAATTTATTAAGATTTGAGTAGTATTTAACTAAATGTAAGTCTGAGCTAAAACTTCACCGATATTTATATTTTTTATTTCATCGTTAACAAGTTTTCTTAAATGTTTTTCTATAATACTTTCAATTTTTGATCTGAAAAATCTCATTGAAATTTTTGTTATAAATTTTAAAATAGGATTTAATGCCCTGTGATTTTTAAGTTGAATTTCAACTCCATTCAATTCATAAATATTAAATTTCGTGACTTCTAGCTCAGGTTCTTGTTTCCCTTCTCTCGCTTCTAATGTTAAGTCTGCTGAAATAATTCCAATTTTTCCAGACAATTCAAATGTTGACATTAACCCCATAAATGACATTCTTCCTGAATATTCTACATTCAATTCATTAACGGATAAGTTTGTCTCCAGACCTAATTTTTCTTCTGTAACTGTCATAGTGCAGTCTCCAGCTCTGTTAAAAAAAGTATGAAACTCTTTAATATTTTCAAATATTATATATAATAAAAACATGGCTGTAAAGATCGTAATATAATAATAATAATAATATATTAATAGATTTTATAGAGATTTTTAGACTCTTACCAACGAATATAGCAAGCTGGTTTAGAAGGAAATTTAACACCCAAGACCATAATCATTTAAATTATTAATAGAGAAAACGAACAACAGAACATAGAGAGGGAGTATATACAGTAGCGAGCTAACCTATGGGCAAAAAGGACAATTGCCTGAGACCTCAAATCAATCTTTTATAAGAAAATATTCTCTCAAAAAATTTTNTAAAATTCAATTATATTTTAATATATTTTTTGAAATTGTATAAACAAGATTTTCTATTTTATTATATTGTGTCTCATTGCAGTAAACATTTACGTCTGTTTTCATAGTTATTCTGATTATATACAATATATCATCAAAATAGCAAAAAAATTACTATATTGTACACAGAGCAATAGATTTGTAGGCCCTATGCATAAATAAATACTCACTTTTTAAATAATTAAGTCTTCTAAGAAACACTCTTATTATTATATGATGAGAAAGAAATAATGGTTATTTTAAAACCCAAGAAAAGACTTCAGCCCGTTGAGGGCTCTTTTTGCTTTTGTATGCTATACAATTGCATGTTTTGTGTAACGGTTAATCCGGCCCTGTACTATATATTGACATACTGTAATAATAATACTTTTATTTTTATAAATTAATATATTATACTCTGATTGATATAGATAAGGACATACTTAGAAAGTCACTACCTTTTCTGAGTATACAATAGTAAATTATATATTTAGAGAAAAATAAAAATACTACTTACCGATTACAAGAAGACAAACTGTGCTCCAAAACAATAATCGTTCATACATTGTTCTTAAGAAATTTTCTACTGATTTCAGAACGTCAATTTAGAGTTTATACGGATCACTTTCCTCTATAAGGTAAGTTCTCGCCCTATAAAATAAACCATGACCTATAATGAGTTCAAAGAAATTGTCCTAATTTGTTATTGAACTTTCAATATGTAAGTTATGAAACGTTAAGAATTAATATTCATTTTTAAGTTTTTAACCTAATTGTACGTAATTAGTTTAAAACTTTGATAATTAATATTGAATGTTAGTTAATACAAACTAATTAATAACAACAGACACTAATCAAAGGCAGATTTGTTCTGATTCAGAACCAACTTCATTGTCAACTATGTGCTTAATATTTGAGATTCTGACCTATAATATTTATAAATTTTTGAAATATTTTTATTTTTCTAAAATAAAAGTTTTCTGTAACACAAGAGATTTAGCGAGGCGTCAAACTAAATCGTTGAAAACTAAAATACGATAATGATATCCATATGACCGTAGGCGTATTTAGAGGTAAGTAGAGGGCACATATCCTTCCTTAACCAAAATTTAAAAAATAAAATATAACAAAAAATTTTCTTCTGAAATATATTTTAATATGTATGATGTATTTATACTTATGCCAAAACTATTCCTGGTGATATCTGGATACCCTACTCCATAATCTGTACTTTAACTTGAGATATTTCTTTTGGTTTTTATTATAATTTCGTTCCTATTTTCCATTGAAATGAAGCAAAACTTGAATCGATTACTATAATTAAAAATGATATTGTAATTTTAAAAATTATTTATTAAATTATTTTAATTATTCGATAAATATGATTTAAAAAGTGCTATTAATCACATCTTTAAAACTGACTTTAAATTCCGGATCGAATTTAAATTTTCTTTAAATATACACACAATTCTCACGTGACCTGTAACTATATATTTATGTCTTATATATTTTTAAAATGTAGTTATATATATCTGACTTGCTGTATATTAAATTGTTATAAATTAAAATACTTGATCCTTGATATTTAAAAATAATTATAATTAATCAAATAAATTTATCTCTAAAAAATTTTATTCGCTTTTTTTAATTTAAAAAAAACTAGGAAACCTTCAAATTTTAACTAAATGTATTGATAAATTAATTAATTTTTACTTTAATTACTATTAAAAACTCGATAATAATATTCAATCGTGCTAGTAGCTACAAAATATACTGGAATGAAAGTAGGTTTTCATAGTAAAATGACTTTTATTTTTCCTTAAACCAGATCAGTTCTTCATGGATGAAAGGCTAATGTATTGCACATTCTTATCATAGCTTTTTAAGCTTCAGAAATTTGGTAAAAGAGATAAAGAATTGACATATAAATCATTTCTTCCATCCTCAGAAACAAGATTTATTGATTACTGCAAACGTAACCCGTTTGAATATTTAAATTATAGATTAGTAATGTATAACTAAAATTAAAACAAAAAATTAATTTATTAAAACATTTTTCCTGGAATAAAACTTCAAAATATTTATTTAATACAGTTTAAACAAGACATTTGAACCTTAGTTATTTAAAAATAATATTCAGTTATCAGTAAGGGTTAAAGGGTTATGCTATGTGAGAATGTAGAATATTCGGATATTTAATACTGTCTATAAACATGATCGTGTTTGCTTGACATTAATTTATATCGAATATTAATTCAACAGAACACTTAACAGAATACCACGAATGTATATTCATCTCCGTCACGATAAATTTGACGTCATATGCTTTCGGGAAGTCATTCTATTGTAGAATTAAATTAAAATAGGCCATTTCGTTAAACACGTTCACCGTAGAGATATGGTAAATACAGTAGTAAGTTTTAGAAGCCAAGCTAAACATCATACAGGATAAAATAACGGGATCGTTGCCCTACAATTCTTATTTTCTTATTAAAATAATTATTAAATTTACATTCTTATTGTGTAAATGTATGCAAAAGACAAGGAGAAATTAATTTATGAGTATATTGTTATATTAAATTAGTTTATATTCGCTACTATGTTGTTTATATCCTACATAATTATATTACTTATATGACAATTAGAGCATAGCTGACAATTCCTGATTAGGATCGAGCATGAGAATTCAATGTTACTAAATTACGAAATGCTAAACAAAAAAGAGATAGTTATCGACAACATTTTCAACAGTCTACAATTTCACTAAAGAAATATTTAGAAACAATTGTAAACAAGTATTATACTTTCCTTAGCAGTTTCAAAAAATAAAAGTGCAGAGTGTCGTTTTTCTGGCCTTGCGAGAAGACAATAAAGTGTAATTCTATATATTAAATTTAATACAATTTACTAAATATAAGAGTTTAAAATAATGCACGTAGATTTAAAGATAATTAATCTATTATTTAATTAAAAGAATTTCTTAAAATGTTTTTGGTTTTAAACTAAATTTATTTATTTTTATTTAATTTGTACATAAGTAAAAGTGTTAGACAGACGAAAGTCATCGCAAATTTATGTTTTAATTATATTAAATTCATTAATTATAAATATATTATAAATATGGAAGATTAATAGAATTTTTATAATAAAAACGGTAACATTATTTTAAAGAAAAAAAGAATGAAGCAACTTACTGAACGAGGATATCCTGTACATCTGACCCGTACTTTACACTAGACGATAGTGAATAACAGCAACAGTAAAATGCACGCAGATCGAGTTGCATACGTATTAACATAAACGGTTCTGATTGGTGAATTTAATACTTACGTATAAATTTCAAATAATTGTAAAATAATTCTCAAACCGTATACGAGATTTTATTGTTTTTTTTCTTCCTCTTTTACTCGAAATAACGTAATAACTTAAATTGAGGAAAAATATTATATAAGGAAATTTTTGGCTTGATGTTAAAATGGCTGAAGTTAAAATTGACTCTTATTAAAGTTAAAAATGTTTTTATTTTTCTTTAATTTAGTTTTTTTTTTTTTACTTTACACAGAAAATATAATATAATATTATTTTTATAAATTAATTATTTGTTTTTGCATTTATATTACAATATTTCTTGTAGTCAATAGAAATTTCCTAAGTTTAATGTAAATATATATGAATAAGTTATATATACAATTTTAATTTGTTTAATATACTGTATATTATTTTACTTTTTTTAAAAGTCTTAAAAGATTTTTAATATATATTGTGTTAATCAGAAATATCAACAGTAAATCTTTCAAAAGAAGTTTTCTATGTATTGTATATTATATATTTTTATATAACTTATATAAATTATATGTGTGTAACTTATATATATATTATATAACTTACACACATATTTCTGTGTATAAATATTTGTATTTTACACTATGTTCCTTCTCTAGTTAAATAATACATAGGCTATATATATAATGTTACAGAGAAAGAAAGGAGAGATTTACACAAGACAATTTAATATACTTATTTCATTTTTGTTATGTTTATTTATTTATTTGATTTTTATTAACTATATAAAGTAGCCCAAAAGTCAGTTAACTGTGCCAGACAATTTACAAATTAAATAGATTTGAAGCAATAAACTTACCGTGATTAGATCGTCGAAGAACTTCTCAATTGATGGTAATGTTTCTGTATAATTGTTTTAAACTAATGTCTATAAAGCTTGTTGTTATTTAAAGAAAACATCAATTTAACTCTTTACTATTGTTAATTAATATGTTTAATTATATAAATGTATATAAATTCAAAATCATTTGTAGTATTTTTTCAAAGCTGCAATGCATATTAAATCTAATACTGTAATAATTATACAGTTATAGGGTTATAAACCTATTAATTGATCAAAAAATATCTAGCGATTAAATATTAAACAATAAAATACATTATTTATTTGTTTGATAACAAATTTATTAACGCACAAAATGTTCTCAAATTAGCTCAAATTATTTAATATACCGGTTAAAAATACTATCTCTCTATTAATTAACTTATATTTATTCTTACTTCAGCTGTTCTTAATTATAATGCCAAAAAAAGTTTAAATATTCATCTAATTAAGTCAAGATTTTTAATATTTTCTAGGCAAATATAGAAAATATGGCTTACTGATCTCTTACATGTGCATTTCTTGTCTCTTTTCGGACAGCTATTGTAGTATTTCTATATACAGTATTACATTTAGTGGTATATAGTATATATAGTATATATATATATATATGTATGTATAAATGAAATGTATGGAAAATAATCACACATTATCTACAGTGATTTAAAGACACGTTATACACTCTATAGGTAAAGAAGGATACATATCAAGGGTAACAGAGGATCAAATTTATCAAGAAATCGAACCAAAAAGCTCTTGGGAAGCTCTTCTTACGATAAACACCTGTTATAACAAATAAGTTATCTGCTTATTCTTTATTTTCCATTTTTATTTTATAAAGAAAGACACTGTGGTCAGTTAGTCTTTTTCAAGTGTCTACAAACAAGAAAGAAAAACTAGTAGTACATGAAAAAAATCAACAAATATTAAACCGAAAATCAAATGAATAAAGCTACAAAGAAACAAAATTTTTAACATTATTTTTAAATACACTGTAACTCGTTATTTCCCGAGATTCATTACTTAGTTTTCTCCAATGGATTATCATTTGGAATATCGATGATGATTTTCCCACCGTGAGCTTTACCGCAGGGATAGAGTAACCACAAATCCTTCGGATATTTCGAATAGAAACGTTACGATATTTTTTAAATTGTATTTCCAAGGTAACTATGTTCCTTACTATCTTTAATGAAACTATGGCTCGCCAGTAAAACTTGTTTTATATATAGTAATTGGATGTAGTAGCCCAGACAGTTATTCCGTATTTTATTTTTGCTTCAGCACATGTATATAATTTCTTCAAATGAGTGATACTAAAAAAAACTTGGATTTTTTTTTATTATTCCAGTAAACCTGGTAAGAGACAAGGCAATAATATCTACCTTCCTGTACCAACGGTTATCATCCAGAACTATTCTCAGATACTTTATCTCAGTTACTTTGCTGATTTTATCCTCGTTAATTTGGATTTGCAGATAATCCGGATTAACAATTTAATTTCTATTTGCAATACAAAGAAATTTTGTCTTAATACTTACGTCTGAGAAAAAATTGCTAGAGCATAATACTATTATATAATTCATAGAGGTCAAGGTTAATGCTAATTAAGTAATTACGATTAAATGATGTCTAGTAATAGAAATTTCTATTTTTACATTTTTAGAAATTTATTATAAAATTAATAATATTACTCTTATATTTATATTATTTTAATATAAATATAAATTTTGAAGAATGTAAATAACGATATATTTTAAAATTTTCATATTTAAAATAAATTCTATTTATGAATGTATTAAATTAATTTAAAACGACGGGGAAATACACAAGGTAACTAAATCTTCTGCTCGAGGGAACTCGGGATCGAATCCAGACGAAAAATTCAGGTAGAATTACTCATTCTACCAGAATTTTCATGAGCTGTGTGTTTGGCATCATCTCTCACAACACAACCGTCCCCATTGTGGGCCTGGTCGAACTTACGACGGTCCTAAAAAAGGCCTCCTTAGTGCTCAGGGCGAAAAGAACCAAAAATGAAAAGAAAAAAATTAATTTAAGACTTAATCTGTTGTGTATAATATGCTGTTTTTATTGTTGTTGTTTTACCCTTACAGATAGGTACGGGTAAAACAACTAACCCTTGTACTAATAAATAAAATAAATAAATTTAAGATTTAATCGGGAAAAAATTCAATATAAATTCTTTTCTTATGAGAAAATTAAAAGATAAATAAAGCTTCAGATGTGAAAAATTTGTTTAATTTGCATATATTTTCTAAAGAAATATAGGTTTAATTTCAATATAACAAGCTCTTTCCGTATAAAATTGTTTTATTTATTTCAATCTTCAGAACAAATAGATCATTTTATATCATTTTTGATTTTGTAAATTTTTCAACCTGGAAAAATAGTTTACTTTTTATACTTTCTTCATAATAAAGCATTTATTAATTTAAATAATATAAGGTAAATAAATTTTTTCTCTTGATTTTTCTAATTATTAATAGATTTTTTTTTAATATTTAAGGTTTCATTATTTACGTACTATATATCTTATAATTTTTAATTTATGTATGATATATTAATAAGAATAATTAAATTTTCGTTCTAATAATTTAATCTCTGATTATATTAAAGATTAACAGCATTTATTACTTTAAGGAAATTAAAATAATTGATATATTTTAGAAACACTATTTTTTCCATATTTACTAATCCAACGAATTATACTTTTATCATTATATCCTAAATAAATAATAACTAACAAAAATGTAATTTATAAATCATTTAGTAACAGTAACTGAGCTAACTGTACGAGGTAGATTTTCTATGTGATAGGCTATTTGATTCCTTCCTTTGATAAGAAATATTACATGGTGAATGTACTAAGATTTATGTTTAATAGTATTCCTTTGTTAACGAATTAGTCGATTCATTATTTAATAAATTACGAGTCAGTTTATTGTCGAGATAAAGGTCGGGTCCTATTAAAAACAGGCGAAGTATACTCCAGTTGATAGCACAACTTCCATGTTTCTTTGGATAAATAGAATTAGGAACTCGTTTTACATGTTATTTACTAAATTATTGATAATTTTAAGCAAAATATTTATGAATCAAATATTCTTCTTAATTATAAATATCAGATTAATTTTGGAGATTATAATTATTTATTTATACAGAACTTAAATACATATTAATTAACATGAAATTACATTTGCATGAAAAATATGGAAATAAGATAAAAGAAACATTTATTATGAGAGACTAAAATAATTCTATTTAATAATTTATTAAGATTTGAGTAGTATTTAACTAAATGTAAGTCTGAGCTAAAACTTCACCGATATTTATATTTTTTATTTCATCGTTAACAAGTTTTCTTAAATGTTTTTCTATAATACTTTCAATTTTTGATCTGAAAAATCTCATTGAAATTTTTGTTATAAATTTTAAAATAGGATTTAATGCCCTGTGATTTTTAAGTTGAATTTCAACTCCATTCAATTCATAAATATTAAATTTCGTGACTTCTAGCTCAGGTTCTTGTTTCCCTTCTCTCGCTTCTAATGTTAAGTCTGCTGAAATAATTCCAATTTTTCCAGACAATTCAAATGTTGACATTAACCCCATAAATGACATTCTTCCTGAATATTCTACATTCAATTCATTAACGGATAAGTTTGTCTCCAGACCTAATTTTTCTTCTGTAACTGTCATAGTGCAGTCTCCAGCTCTGTTAAAAAAAGTATGAAACTCTTTAATATTTTCAAATATTATATATAATAAAAACATGGCTGTAAAGATCGTAATATAATAATAATAATATATTAATAGATTTTATAGAGATTTTTAGACTCTTACCAACGAATATAGCAAGCTGGTTTAGAAGGAAATTTAACACCCAAGACCATAATCATTTAAATTATTAATAGAGAAAACGAACAACAGAACATAGAGAGGGAGTATATACAGTAGCGAGCTAACCTATGGGCAAAAAGGACAATTGCCTGAGACCTCAAATCAATCTTTTATAAGAAAATATTCTCTCAAAAAATTTTTCCGAAGAAAAATGTCTGAAGTCAACAATGTACTGTATATGGGGCTCCTGATTCAAACTTTCCTGAGCCCCATGAACTATAACGCGCCACTAGAAACATAAATACGATGATGTAAAATTACATCCATCATAGTCCCTCAACAACATTAACAATTTATTTTATTATAAATTGTTAATGTTGTTGAGGGACTATGATGGATGTAATTTAATAAGTAAAATAGTGTAAGGGTCGGACTGACTAAAATTAAATTAAATAAAGAAGCTGAATTTAAATTAAATATATTTATTAAAGTTAAACAAAGAAAAGCTCCATTTTTTTTCCTTCCCGAAATTTTTCGAAAAAGGATGTACACATTTCCTTCCCACGGAGCCGTTTTCTATCTCTCAGGAACCTGAAAAATGAATCATGAGGAACTTATCCTAAAAATCGGCGATTGGCGAAACCCAGTAACGCGACGAAAGATATACAAGGTAAAAGAGGGGTGACGACGAGAAAAGGGAGTCCATCGCCGCCGTCCGTGATAGGGAACCCTCAGAGCCGCCGATCCTCTAAACCCGGCATCGCTGACCATCTTCAACGTGCGTGATCGCCGAGAATCCGTGCCGTTCGTCGTCACCTTCCGTGATCGCCGTCCGATATTACCGTACCTCAACGTCGTTCTTCGTAAAAGTCCTACTCCGTCTCGTACCTGCACATCAGTAATCAAACTCGTAGAGATATGACGTTCATTAATGTAAACTTTCTCTCTCTCGGCGCGCTCCCTCCACTTCCGCGTGTACGCTAGAGACAAGTTCGATGTAGCTATGTTAGTTATGTTATCGTCTAATAAATTCTTGTTTTGTTGTTAATTGGCGTCTTTAATTTGAATATCGCTAACGTCTCACCGACGACCCCTCTCACCTCCTCCACTTGACCTGACAAAAGAATCCCGACTTTCCGGGATAGAAAAACATAGACAAGCCATCCACTGACCAGTGGGCAGTTCTCACCAAACTGTTACCTATCGGAAAGAGGTACGACTTCGCCCTACCTCAGGCTACCCACAATAGAAATAAACAAAGTTTAAATGGGCGATTCTCCATTACTGATATTTTTTACAGTAGCCTTTCTAAAAGTATTCAAGAAATGAAGTTAGTATAACAAAATACCTAACAAACTTAAGATTTGAAGGTGACATTATACTTTTCCGAACCGTAACAGAACTGCAGCAAATATTGGAAGACCTATGTTCTGCAAGCAATAAAATTGGGTTGAAAATTAATAAGGAAAAAAACCTATATAATAATAAATAAGTATGTCACTGGTCACCCAGTAATGATGAGACAGAATTAGAGAAGTAAAATCTAATTGCTATGTTGGGAAATTTATAAGCATGAAAATTGAACGAAGAATGAAAACTTCTACATATCTCATTTAAGAAACTCAATTATATGTTTAAAAATGGCATACTGTTAAATCTGAAAAGAAATGCATGTACAGTAATCACTGCATTTCCCTTGATTTAACGTATGAGAAACGTCGAATCTGATAAAAGAAAACCGACAAATTGATAGACAAAGAAAAAATGGAACAATCAATGATGGGCAAACCAACACTTAAAGAGAGGAATTCGTGGATAAGAGATAAAAAAAGTAAAAGATGTGGTAGTCCAGACCAAATCTTTTAAGTGGAAATGGGCTGTACATATTACAAGAAGACATGAAAACATATAGGCTAGACAAAGATTATACTGGATAGGAAAACGGAGAGGAAAGGAAAAAGGAAAGATTAAAGAAGAGCTGGAAGACAAAATTAGAGAATTTGCAGAGAGGAATGGAAAACAAGACAAGGATGGAAGATTTTGGGAGAGACAATCAAATGAATCCCACATTAATTTATTTAAATTTTACAACATTGATATATTCATAACAGAAATATGCATTTGATATAAATGTTTCTTCTGTAATCATTAAATTACTAAACAGAAATTGACTACTGGTAAGAAAAATTCCTATTAAGAATCAAGTTACGTTTATACGCAAGATATATCTGATATATCAAGTATTAATGTTCTCTATATCAAGTAGCCTACATTCAATACATAAATGAATTGCTTTTGTTTGAGATATGATCCATAGTCATAAGTATTATTGTTTTTATATTAAATTTTGAAATATTTTGAACGATTTTACAAATATCGAACAGTAAGATAAATTTTTAAAATTGTTGGAAAAGTATTTGTGGTAACAAATACAATGGAAATGGAGAATTGAATAGGCAAAGATCAAAGGTGAATTTGAAAATTAAACTTTAATAAAAGTACAAAAATAAATATTCCTCGTCGAATTCAATGCATCTCCGCCAGTCTTTAAAACGTGCAATAGTCAATCCTTTGAGTTGCTCTTCATCATTATTTTTGATTACTCATTTGGAGTTCCTCGTAACTCAAACTTCGGTGCTGGAAATAAAAAGTCTCAGAATACCAAATCTGGGCTTCATTGTATAAGTGGATATGGGATGCACAGGATTGTATAGGGTATGACCACGGGTGGGATTCAAATAATTTAACAACCGGTACGCTGCCCTAATAAATGAATAAATATTACAAGCATAGTTCCGTCAAATCTTTTTTTACCTATGAATTTAATGAACATTACTACGAGCGCTAAGAATTCTCTGTTGAGTAGATAAACGTTTAAAGAAAGTAAGATATATTTGTAATTTCCACATTGGGCGACTGCTCAGGCGCCTACCTTAGAGAGAACCCTGATTACAAGTTTCATTTTAACAAACGGTTCGCCAAACTCAACCAAAAAATTACCGAACCGGCTGAATCCTGCATATGACGATGAGTGACGTTGAGTCGATGACCGGCAATCAATGGACATCAAACGGACGATGATCGAACGAATTTGCTTCGATATTGCTTAGTTTGCGGCGGCCTTTAAGATGTCTTAGCATGGAATTTAAAATCAAAATATGCACTAATATTTAGTTTTATTACTTATTGAACTATATACATGTTTCAAGAAACAAACTTAACATAGGAGCATTTATAAGAAAACATAAGAATTTTCTTTTAAAGCAAACAAAATTTCACTAATTCATTTCATTAATATTTAATATACGTGGAAAAATTATCCTTATAAATATTTTGGGTTGATATTTAAGTTTTTTCGCTGAATGAATTTAATAATATAGTTTGAATTATTATCAATTTCTTGCATTACTATTAAGAAATGCGTTGTTTTAAAATGAAAGTTTTATGTGGCTCTTTGTTCTACTTAAAAGCGTATTCAAACTTCTTTTAATTTGCATTAAAGGAAGTTATTATCTAATTATAGTAAAATATAGTCATACGACAAAGATTTGTTCATATTAATTGAACTATTTGTCAAGAGATGGCGGCACATCATTAGTGTATTATTTTCTTTAATTTTTTTTCAATTTTTCCTTTCAGAATTTTACAGAATTTTCACCATATATTACTAAACGATTATTTATAATAATTATATATTTTTATAATTTTCAAATTATTTTTTAGATTTCTTTCGAGCAATTTTACTTACGGTATTTATTTGTGGTAATATTGCAGTGTACTGTATTATATAGGCTACATTTTAACTTGAATAAAATACAAAAAATGCAAATTTAAAATATTTTTTACTTTAAAAATTACTGAAATTTATAAATTATTTCTCAGTAAAAACAAAAAATGAAAACTTATATTCACTATTAAACTTAGATTACCAAAGCTTATAATTTTACAAAAATTCATGATTTTTGGTAAATAATGCTGCATAATTATCAATATTAATTTTTCATAGTTTAAGTAAACATATTAATTATACGCCAACTTCGTATCAAAAATATCGTGCTTCATTTTTAGATCCTCATATTAGTTTTAAAGAGTGATTATAAGAATTGTAAAATATCGAATTGTTTAATCATTATTTTAAATAACATATTATAACAAATACTTAAATACAGTTGTTCTCAAGATGAATAAATTAAGAATTCGTTAGAATATATGATAAATCCGATCCAGTTAGGGTTTAGATTAGTGGTTCTCAACCAGCTGTGATACACTGATGTGTAGTGAAGCTCAGTGTGTGGCAAAAGAAAATAAGAGGATAAAGATATATAAAATTTTAAACAAAATAAAATTCTATAAATCCGTAATGAATTAATAATGATATTTATAATCTGTAATAGTAATAATAATGATTAAAAGTAAGATACGAATGGCTAATAAAGTGTTCTGCAAAGTGCTAAATTTTAAATTAATTATGGAGAGGTTGAGATATGTTTGAAGATTATTGAATGTAATTTAATATGACAACATTGTCAATCTATCAATTTGAAGAGCAAACTTAAACGTAGATTTGATTAATTAAGTAAACTATAAGCTGGTAAGGTAACCTTTACTATTGTATCAAATTCTAGTTTGGATGATAGCCTAAAATAAAGTGATTAATGCCAAATCGTAAAAATAATTATGCCAATCAGAATGATCCATATTTATTGGATTTGTTAGGAATCTCGAGATAATGAATATATTAATAAATTTTGGAACATAATAGTAATAATAATCTGAACACCTTGCCATACAGAAGGTATTGTCACCTATTTGAATCAGGCATATAAAGAGGCTTCGAAATTTAATCTTTTATGCAGAAAATAACGTTATGTGACGATAATTTAAATTAAAATTTCTTATAATTTGTAAAAAATAAATTATTTTAATGAATTATTTTATTTTCATATATTTTTTATAGATTTTGGAAAAAGGTCATACTGATAACTGGTTATACACTGAAACTGGCATGAGACCCCGTCTCAAATCTCTCGAGCTCTGACTATATGATTAAAAAATCAACATGTTTTGATCATAGAGATCAACAAAGAGGTTTATTTATGATAAATATCTAATCTAAACAATATTATATCACGATATTACTGTAATTCTCGAATGTGTCATACCTTACTTATGAAAGTCCTATAGTATCACATTATAAATTGATTTCCTAGTACTAGTTTTAATTGCTTAACTGAATAATTTTTTACATTTATTCTGTTTTAATTTTCTATATCTTATTCGTATTTAACTGTAGTTATAGTTACTATTAAAATTTATTTGATCAAATTCGATATGAATTATTCATTATTTATAAATAATAATAATTATTATCATTTATAAATACAGTAACTAGATATCTTACACGTTTGTTAAAATCCTAAATTTGAATTTTATTATATTTAGAATTTAAGTAATACTATTTTAAAATAAATATAGGCCCACAATCAAACCTATGAACAACGGCTGAGTTCTGTGATGACCTTTGTTTGGAAGTTGTTTTGTATTTCAAAATGACACTTTCTTGGACAGTGGTCGCCGTTGTTGGGAGATGGCCATCATTACAGGCTAAATAGTATAAGTGTAGGTATTGTATTTCTTTTATTTAAATAAATAAATAGTTGTCTCTTTTTAAAAACTTCTGTACTTTGAATAAAATATAACAAATATTTATCACTATATTTTAAAATATTTAGGGCCTCGCGTTGAGACTGTACAACATAGCGGCTCACATTTCTACATGTATCATTATTTGGTACATGGGAAAGCCTTGTTGTTACTTAGGCTATAACAAATCTAAGTACATCCCTAAGTGATAATTCAAAATCATTCATTTACAAATAGATTTAAGAAAATATATTTATAGAAAATAATTTTAATAACTTAAGATTTAACTCAAATTAAGTTCAGTAATTTTTACTTCATAAGTATTTTCTTAACAAAACGATCTACACAAGCATTATATGTATATTGCTTGTGTACTACCTGTATATATATACTCTAGGTGTGTGAGTAACCTACATTCAAAACTCCTCTTAACGGTTACTAATGGAAAGATAAAAATGACCATTATTTAGAGGTTATTTTTAATGTATTTTTGTTGAAAAAGTTCCTGAAAAAATGGCACTATTTAGACGTGGCCGTTATTGGAGGTTCAACTGTATATAAATTAAAATAAATAAACAAATTGATTTTTCTAATCTTAATTCCTAGCTTTTCAAGATTTTTGTAGACAATATTCATAATATATTATTGTAACTTTGTCGGTAATTATAATTAAATTTTCAGTTATATTAAAGTATAATCTAGTTAATAACTAGTATATTAATTAATTTTATAAATTTAACTACATATTAAAACACAAATTTCATTTAAACATTATACAGTAACGTACAGTACACTATATACGAGTAAAATAATTATTAATTGAAATCTAACCTGTGAAGATTCCTCAATCCATAAAGTTTTCCTTCGTCAAAATTGACTTCTCCTCTATAATTTACGAAGAACATTCTTCTGTTGAAAGAGAATCGGAGACTAGGTAGTTCACATGGTTCAATTTCATTACCGAAATCATTCAATGTTTTTCTGATTATTTCATCAACTAATTTATTTGCATTTCCACGAGCAGTTACATGAAATTCTGTCAGAGAAAAGTATCATTTATCATTTAAGAAATTTCATAAAATTGCTTAAAATTAAATACTCTATGTAAAAAAATAAATCAATACTTGCCATCATTAGTTAATGTCATCTGCAATATGGAAAATAAGATAAATATTTTCANTTGTTGTACATAACAAAATGGATAAAGCAGGCTACATTAGACAAATATTTAAATAAATAGACACTGTATAAGCCGAACTGTTGAGTGAAAAGTTATATTATTTTCACTTATGCTTAAGAAGTTTTCTTAAATTGGATTCTTGAAAAATTTCTTAACTGAGTTCTACTGTTTGTCTAATATAAACAGGATTAAAAATGCATTGATTAACTGATAATTATAATGTTCTTTACTTTCAACCAAAAAGGCCAGATAATTTATAAATTAAGTAAAATATAATAGACTTATTTTAATATAGCAAAGTAAATTAATCTGTATATAAACTACCTTGATGATAGTGATTTCCTTAAATGGCAATGAAGATTTAAATATTTTTACAGTTTGAATGAAAACGTCAGCATTATGACAAAAAATAGCTTTATAAATAATACATTAATCAACTGTCTGGAAAATAAAGAAAACTTTGCACTATATTTAAATAAAAAGAAAACTCAAATTGTTTGTTAGATAAACCGTACTTAAATGAGCAATTATTTATTGTGATATCGTCACAATGCCAAGCTGTAATTTTTTTTAATCATATTTTGAATTTATTTAATTTAAAATATGTACTCTCAACCTCAAATTAGTAGTGGCTTGCCCCTGTACATCATACTTTTCCTTTAACAATAGAGTCATGCCTGTCTTCTATCTAACACCTTTCAGTGGAAAATTTTTGAATTAAAATAACGTGACTTCCGTTTTAAATTGGAAGCTCATATATAGTTAATCGGGGTCTCTTACCCCTAAGGTTTCCATATCTGGTCTCGGATTTCATCTATCTAACTCCGTTCTCGCGATTAAAGAAAGACGAAGGAAGGACGACAGTGGAAATTTATAGGCCTACAATTTTCAATAAAACTAATAGAATAGAATATCGACGGATGAATAGCCGAGGTGATTCAAGCGTCAACTCAGCTCTCTGAGGGATCCGGGATCTAATTCGAGTTGTCGAAAAATCCCAGGAATTTTTCGGGCGTTCATCTGTTGGGCTATATCGGGTCCATCCCTCGTTTCCCTGCCGAACCCACATGGACATAATTAAAGGGTCTTCTTGTGGCTGTATTATTCAACACCAGAGTTAAGAGTAGACTTACATTTACATTTTCTATAAATATCTGAATCCATATAAAAGTTTTTTATAATAATATACAATTTGAGAGATTCAGCTAAAAATTATTTGTATCGAATTAAATTATCTACTGATTTAGAGTTTATTTATAAATCATAAAGAAAGATAAATTATTATTTCTTGATTTAGCATTATTTATTTTCGAAAATTCTAGCTTGTTTAATCAAAATCATTTATTTGTTTAGCAAATTTATGGTTGATTGAGACCTGTTTATATTTTTTCGCTTTTTCCGGAAATTTATAAAGTTTAAATCTAAATAAATACTAAATTTATCAATGTATCTTAATTACTTTCCCGGCAGTTATATACAATAGAGGCAATCAGTCAAAAAAATTACCCCCAAGATTTTTACATTTTTGCACTCGGGACACCTTGAAACGTCGAGAAACGCAAAAAATCGGGTGTTTTCTATATGTATGGATGTTATTGTATGTGGAGGGAGCACGATTTTGTTCACCCTGTTTGAAGCTTAATAGCTCCTCTGCTTTTTGTCGAAATTTTTTGAAATTTTTCAGGGAGTTTTGTGTATTAGAGAGATTGATGCTATTAAATTTTTGTGTTTAAAGGTCGAGAGGGTGGGGAGATAAAAGGGATCGTGTATTATATCTCGAGTAGAATCAGACGATTTTACTCGATATTAGCATTTACAGTTTTTTTTTTTTTTTTTTATAAAACCCGTCTCTACTCTCAAAATTAAGTTATTCGCCATTTTATAATAATTAAAAATATAAAAAGTTTTTAAAATGAAACATGATAACGAATGGCGCCATCAAATGTTGCCGGGAAAGTTAAGCAACTCGTTGCCTGAAATTTTTTTTAAATATAGATTCAATTTGTACATTAGGTTACTTGAATTATATGCAGCTATTTTTATATGACTAAAATGTCTTTTAGCAAATATTAAAAACGTTGATACATATAGAAACAAAAATTTATAGGCCTATATTTGTACCATTTAACGATATCAATACGATGTTTTCAATGTTTTTTTTTTCATTTCTATGATAAAATTCTTAAAAAGTTCAAGAAATCCCTTTGCTTTCATAAATAACGTCTATGAGAATTGTAATGAAATAGAGGGTAGCTTGTTCATAATTGCAGCCATTATTAATACTTGTAAGGAAAATTAATGCTGTAATACAATCTAAAATGTACCCTTGTTTTATCTATAGATGTTTACTTTCACAACGATAAAATTAATCGAGAAAAGTCTAAATCTAGGTAAAATTTCCACGCCCTTACGAAACTCCATTTTTTAATGCTTTCTATACATACAAATTAAGTATAAAATAATAATTGTAAAACTAAAACTAAAGCATCCAAAATTTTGGGTAGGAAAATTCATACCCTTAGGTTTTGAATTCATATTTATCAGATGCAAAATGACTGAATAATTGTAATGAAAATGTGAATTTTTTTCTTTCTTTGATTGGACTTCATTACGAGTTTGAAACTAAACAGTCAATAAATAGTCCCACAATGAATTTTAGGCATCTGTGCAAAGTGTATTTTTTCCAGCTCTCGAATACAGGACTTTGGAGTCAGACTCCGACCATATATTTTTTGAAAATTTCTTGGATCCAACTGTAGGCCTGTTTTCTTTTGGGGGACTTAAGTGTTAAATTCTTTAGCTATTCACTATAAAATCTTAAGCTTTTTACTTTGAAACATTTTAAAAATTTTGCGAATATAACCAAAAGTTCTCTAACAACTTATATTACTGACATACTACCAAAGATATATTCCTGACATATTCTGTTTATTTTTCATAATTAAAAGAAATTAATTTGTATCAACTGTAATCAATAATATCATAATAGGACAATATTTTAGTAACTTTTAAATAATAATAAAAATGTTACAATGTGAATTTTGTTTATCTGTTTAAGTACTGTTATAACCTTTCTAAGATAAGTTGGCAATTGTAAAAACAGATTGAATCACTTCGATCGAATGCAGGAGTAATGATGTTAGTGAATTAAGTAGTATTTAGTATATTGTTTATTGGTATTTTATTCTCTTTTTTCTGTGATTTCCTTCGCTTTAATTATAGTTAAATATATCTGAGAATAATATTAAAATTACATATTGTTATATGTCAGCCAAGCTTTATCATGATAAAAGTCATATACAGTACATAGAGAAAGTGCAAAGTCGGAACCCTAGAATCCATGACTAACAAGGATCCTAAGCTCTTTTGTTCTTTTTCCTTCGTCCAACGTCTGTCATTAACTTCAATCTAAACAATAAGGACCTAATTAGTCGAACTCAAAATAATGCAAACTACAAAACTTAGCGAGTCTACTGTAATGGACATTTACGAAAAATACTGTGTATTACGCGATTCGAACATACGTATTACTGTTCTAAAAAAAAGGCGTGGAACGAGATCGCGAGACAAATTGGACTGCACAAATAGTGAAAATTAAAGTAAACTGTCTTTTTTGTTTTGTTATTTCTTACTTCTTTTTCGGTGAATTAATCACTACAAAGGCAACAGGGCAGATAACTTAGTATCACCGTTTCCGATATTTTTTGTTGAAAATGGAGCGATGCGACACATATGCGTGCGTGTCAATAAAAATGTATTCATGAAAGATCGAAACACATAGCTCACATTTAGAGCACACAAGAATGCCTGCGTCCTTATACTATAAGCGCTCAAGCCTGTTTACACCTTTATAAGTAGACGGGAACTGCAGTAGGAGTCTAGAAGAGCAACATGCAGCTCGCGAGCCAGTTTGGACGTGGTTATGTGATCAAAAGATCTACTTCTATTCTTTATATAAAAGGAGAGAAACACGCTAAAAATAAATTAAGAAAATAAAATGGCTTGGATGATGTACTGCTATCTGGAACAATGCACTTAAAAATTAAATATTAAGCTTGAGCCGGAGCCAGAAAATTAAGCTGGAGTGGAACTGGAGCCGGAGAAATGATCAGATGCTTTGCTCCAAAGCTCTGTGCACATTTCCTCTGTTTATCACTCTTCCCTGGTCAGTAAATCTGCTTATCTTGTTTACCATAAAGATTCCAGTAGACTATTGCTTGTTTACCGTGCTCGGGAGTTATCAGTCTTGTTCTTGGTACCAAGGTAACGACAAAAATGCTTATTGCAAAATTTCCAGCAATGACACAAGTTTACGTGGCAAAAAAGTTACCAGGCGTTTACAATATACCATTCATAGGAAAAAACAGCGTACAATTGGCTGATACGTACGTTCTGTCTGATCCTAATGTTGACTACGTTGCTGATCAAATTTGATCAGCAACGTAGTCAACACCGCTCACCAATGTCTTATACCGTATACTGTGTAGTTTCTTATTAGTCTAAGCTATGGAATAGCAATGTTGTCCTAGTGTTCTCGGCTATAGTTCTTACATTTTGATTTGGTTTGATTGATGCCTAGTATAACAACGCATTGTCATTCCATATAATTGGGCTGCAATTTTCAAATTACAGTTTTCAATATAGATTCTCTCTTTTTCCTGCGTAAGGGCTGTATATAGTTAAGCGTAAGGGCTGGAGCTACCGCTTAACTATATACAAAATTCTGGTTTGGACGGACGTCACGTGATTTTTTTAAATTAAAATACGATTAAAAATTGCAGCCGGCATTGTGGCTATGTCATAATAAATAACTGCTGGTCAAAATTATTTCTACCTTGGAATCTTTAAAACATTGAGCATAGCTCCCGCCTCCTTGTTCATTTCATCTAGAGAAGTTTTCTTAATCCGGTCTATCCGCATAGACCTAAGAATATAAATTACAGCAGGAGGAAAGAAATTGATAGTGATCGATCAATTAGGTTACTGATACCCG